TTTTTTTTTTTTTTTCTTTTGGCTGTTTTTGTTGTTAGCGTTCGTTTAGTTTGATTTAGTTTAAGTTTTGTTAGTTGTCGGATTCTCATTCTTTTTTTCGAATATAGTTGTGGAGAAAATGGAGTGTATGTTGTGTATATGTTGTTGTTATTCGCAGTAAAAATGGCAAAAAAATTTGTGAGCTGAAGGAAAGACACTGAAACACTGTCGTCGAGCAGCAACAAAACAGACTTCCGAACACATTTCAATTCATCTTTGTAATGCATTCATATGGTAATATTCGTTAAACGTGCTGTTAAGCATAAACTAAAGTATTTTTCTTTTTTTTTTTTCACATCATATTTCAATAACATTGGAGGTGCTCACTGTTTCGTATCCTTACAGTTGAAATAACAACAGTTGGTAAATGAAAATAAAGTTTTATTACCAAGTTTCTTTTGATGCTTCTAAAAGTCAATTGGTACATTTTTTAGATTAAAATTTTTACCGTTTTTTTTTATGACCACTTAGAAGTGATTTGTCAAAATACTTTTGTTTTTTGTTGTTTTTGATGTTTTTTTTTGTTTTTGAACGATTGAGGACCGGAACAGTACACCAGGCTGGTTTAGAGTTTTTGACGGTAATAGAATGATAAATAGATGGTGAACGATGGACTGTGAAAAATAAAGTCAAACTCCTGTAGCACCTTCTAAAGAAAAAAACCATAATTTTCCTGATATCCTATTTTTGTTTTATGTTGTGTATTGCCGACAAAAACAGAACGTTTTTTTTTCAGTTAGTTTAAATACAGTGGAATATGTGAGTTATGACCTGGTGCGTAGTTTACTATTGCAATCTGTGTTGCTGTTGAACAAGCAGATAGTTGCAAATATTATAGTTAGGAGTTGCTTTTTTTTTTTTTGCTACTTTTATTCCTCTTCTTTTCTTATGGTCTAATTCAAAGAAGATAAGGGTTAAAAATAAAAGAGAAGGAGAATGAAAAGTTAGTTAAAAAGAAGAAGAATGAAAACTTAGTTTTTTGACAAGTTTTTATTGACCATTCAAATTTGCATTCTGTTTCTGTAGACTGTAGTGATGATGATGATGATGGTCATCCATCTGTTCATTCAGCCAGTTCATTTACTATGACCTACCAGCAGCAAAAACGAAGCGTAACCTCACCAGATCTTTTGTTGAGCTTAGCACTTTGTGCAAAACTGAAGAGCAAAAATGTATTGCTATATAATGGAATTTTTC